TTTTTTTTTTTTTTTTTTTTTTTTTTTTTTTTTGAGGAACCATTAAAGAGTGGCAATTAAAAGAATTGCATTTTTTCTGCTTTTGATTTTGTTTTCTTTTCTTTAAAAATTTTTTTTTCTTTACAGATAATCAAGCAAACAGTTGAAGCAAACATTTGCTTACCGGTTGTTATCGTTTCTGAATATTCTGTATCCGTCCACAGATTTGGTGCCGTATACAAACGTAACTTGAACTTATAATTTGTACCAGGTTTTAAAGGACCGTTGCAAACATATTCTACATCAATATCTTCACAAGAACTATCAACTCCGATAACCTGGAAGAGACTGTTGATCAAATACAGCAGTATTATGATGATGTACGGGCATTTATAGATTCCTCAAACAATTATGTATATTATACTAAAGTTGAACTAAATAAAGAAAAAAATAGTTTTACTTTTTTCCCTTTTTGCTATTTCCTTTTTTTTTTCTTCTTTCGATAACTTCAAATTACAAAAGCAAATATTCTGTTACCTCAGAAATTGATCGGGGTGGAAAAAACTTGCGTACTGGTTCGATTGGACTTTCAACTGCAACATACGGGGGCCAAACGCCAAAACGTTGAACTTCACGCCAAGTCTGAAAAGATTAGCTGATATTAACGAAACTGCATTAATGAGTCAAACAGCAGTATGTTTTCCAGTTATGATCTTAAAATATTGCGGGCTGCAGTTGCCAAAATAATGTCAAATAATAAAGTACCGGAGTCGAATTACGATGTTCCCATGCCCAAAATTCATTAGTTTTTCCGTCACCCGTAACCTCAACAACAATAATCGCCAGCTTTGTCAACAAACCATGTTTCGTGCTAAACATCGCTGTGCTATACCTTAGCGTTACGTCAGTGCTGCGAATTGTGTTGTGCAAAATTTCCATACGTGTCGTCGGTTGTGGTGGAGCTGAAATAAAAATTACTTTTCGCATACAGTTAAACATATTGGAACAAGACAATTAAAAAAAGGAAAGCTTTGAAAGCTGACGTAAAATTGGCATTAGCACAAGTACAGCGTCCGATACAGCACTAAGATCGCCTTCTCCAGCTTCTGTAACGGCACGAACATCCATACGATATGCGAGACCGCCAATAAGGTTGTCAATAATAGCGTTGATAGTATGGTCAAGATGTTGTGGACTGGTGCCGACAGTAACAGACCATTCGTTTTCAGTCTCCTCCTACAAAAAGAGAATTAGAAAGAAAAATTTAGAGTTAAGACTATCGAAAAAAATATCATGTATTTTTTTCTTTCTTAAAAACAATTATGCGTACCATTGGATGGATTCGGGCAATATAATGGGTTATGATACCGTTTGGTAAGGCAGGTGGCATCCAAGACAACTGAACACTATAAGGATTTAAAGCCCGGACCGTTAAATTTTGAACTGGACCTGGTCGATCCTGACGTGTTTCAAATGTAAGCTGACGCAAAGTACGCATTCGCAAGGGACACTTCTTTTCCAGCCTTTTTCCACACATTATCTAAATGCCTTTTCATTTGAAACTAAAGCAAATGGACGGTGTACCAAAACAACAACTTTTCCAAAATAGTAATCCCAAAGTCCAGTAATGCTGTTTTAAAAGTAAAAACATGCGAAGCGAGAATAAACCAAAACCTGAGTGTTTATTGTATACTTATGGTATGGACGTAAACCCTGCAGCAAAACCGGAGCAGTTTCTGGCAAAAAAGCAAGTGTTCTGTTGTAAATTGCAACGCTATGCATATCAAAAACAACAACATTGATAAAACACTCAGAAGAGCCAAACTGCAGTGCATCACGATGTACAAAACGGAATTTAGCCGAGTTCTTTGTCACCTCATCAGTGGTGACATTCACTGATGGTGCACTGATACGAATGTATTCTTCAAAACGATCTGTCGATACTATTCCCGACTTTGTTACTGTGTAAACTTGTACCTTAAAAATCAGGTCATCATCTGTTACGTTTCTGGAAGAATCAAAAATAGTTATTTAGAAATCAGCGGTTACGAAATTAAACAAAAAATAAAAAATATAATTAAACGGGGGTGAATGAAAGATGACGTACCTTATAGCAGGCACCACTTGTTAAATTTGATATTACAAGCGCTTCTTTTTGATCTATATGCATGACGTAATTTTGCGGTTGCCATTTTGCCTTCTGCGAGGAGCTTTGTGGATCGACATCCATATGAAGTGTACTATCCTTACCCACAACATCGTCCCATATACTTTCCAGTTTAACATATCCCGATGAATTATGAGGCCAGTCCAAAATTAAGCCTTGCTTTGTTTCCTGTAATTACTGTTTATCCGGTCATCATTATTACTACTTTCTATTACAGTGCATATTATGCACTTTTTCTTTGACCTCATCAATTTACAAAAAAAATCCCCAAACCGTAGCAAAGGCACAGACCTGAAGTGTCAGCCCAAAATGTTTCATATCAAAAGCCGGTTCTAGAGCAAAGTTTTTTAACAGTTTTACGCTTCGTGCATTTTTACTTGTTGTCACTGCGCCAACTTCATACCTGTAGCCCGGACGTAATGACACATAGAACGAACACCTAAACAGTTGTTTTGTAGCTTTTAATACGCTGTTTGTCTAGTAACAACATACAAGTGTAAGAAAATAAAGGCTATAAAATAGCATGTGTTCTCTGTGATCTCCCGACCTTCTACGAGCATCCGCAGTTTTACCGGGCAGAACGGATTCTGACTGTTCAACCACATCTAATCTTTCACTGGATATACTTATATTGCACCCGTCAATAAAGCTTTCTGATTCCGGTGGAAGTGTCAACAGCAATCTGCACATTTATTTCTTTAAAAAATTAAACGTCTAAAAGTAAATCAACCAATCAATAAATATATATTTATATATGCTGAGGTAAAAAGACCTACAGAAACTTCCTTTTGTTGTAATCAACAGAAACTTTCAAGCTTTCTGGAGGTTTAGGTCGAACCGTGTGATCAACAAACGATAGATCCGAAGTTTCATTGCCAACTTCAGCAATGGCACCAAATGTAAAAGTACGGCCTGCCTTCAATCCACAGATATCTGTTGATTTGACGGTTTTTTTCAAATATATCTAAAAATACAAAATCTCAAGTAAAAAAAAGTAAGCATTACTTTTTTCTTTTTTCTTTTTTTTTTGGTAACACAATAAAAGTGGTTCATTAGTGACTTTAAACCTCTTTAATTGGAGAGCTTTCGTTTCTTTCACTGTAACGAATAATAAATCGTTCCACACCAGATTTCGTCGATAAAGACCATGAAAAAGTTACACATGTGTGATTCAAATCTGTAACATCTAGTCGGAACGGTGACAACGGCTCTGAAATTTACTTCAATAAAATCTTGTCTTATTCTTCAGTCAAAATTTCAAAGTAAGAAGAGGAAATATAAACTTGTCGTTAGAACTCCAGTCCATGGTTTGCTTTCTAAACCATTCATTAACGAGGTAATAGTAACATTATAATGTCGACCGGCATTCAGATTACCAATATAAATTTCGATATGTTTTTGTTCAGTGATATCGTACACCTCCAGTGGCGCATAATTTTTAAATGGATCAGTTTGAAAATATTTTATACGAAATTTTTCCTAGAACAAACCGAAATTAGTAACAATCAATACACTTTTTGAACTAGCTGAGAGCACAATACTGGTAAAGCTGTACACATAGGCTTACTTGTAAAGCATTTTCCGGTTTTAGTGCCCGTAAAGTTATATTATTAGACAGCGACACAACTGTGGCATTTCGAGAACTAAAATCAGGTGCCACAGGATCCATCGTTATTGACTGTGACTTCAGTAAAACCGATTCACCGTCCTTTCTACCAACGATTGAAACACTAAAAATTAAAAAGCTGATAAAAGTTTTAAAAAAAGTGCTGAAGAATATTGCTAGAATATTTTGCTTCTTCTTTGGTCTTTCAAACGTATCAACAGTATTTTGCACCTATACTGATGACCAGGATGTAACCCTCGAACATTGATAACTTTTGATTCTGGCGGTGAAGGTAGGAAAGTTCGATTTGAATCCCTTGCTACTATCTCCCTAAACAAAACAAATATTACTCTTTGAGAAAAAACTTTATCCTACTGAATACGGTCATATGATTGTATCCATTAAACATTCACTTCTTGTTACCTATATCTATCTAAGTCGGTAGTAAAGAGATTTTCTCAGCATTTATGCATTGAAAGAAAAAAACTTAAAACTTTTTTTTTAGTTAAAAAAAATAACTGACAAGTCCGGTGATATGTCGACAAGTTTAACAAAATATTGTTTGAATCGAGTTGGTTTTTGCGTAAGATAAACATTAAGCAATGATGAAGGCCCAAATTGATCTTTTTCAACTTGTAGCTTAATAACTGGTGAATCACGCTGAGCATCCGTTTGCACATCATCACTTAATGGTACATTCAGTTTTGCTGCAGTAAAACTCTAAAAACAGAAAGGTTCTCAAAATTTCGAAAAAAAAACAAAGACGATTACAGATGAGTATCAAAAATAAAATGTGAAATTATTGTTTACGGTTTTTCGTGCCTGTTTCACTTTTAGAAAACAAAGTGTAACCTTGAATTTACCGTTTATTGAAACTAAAACTGCTAAAAATTAGACAGATAATATGTTTCACCTCTTCGATTTGTTTTGCGTTAATAAAGAACCATTGTTAAAAAAGATATTTCCAGGTATTTTCTGTCTAATC